TTAAAGTTCTGTAATTTAAATACGACAAACAATAGTCTATCTTCCGAGCTTTTATAAAACTGTACTTTAAAGCTATTTCCACACCAAGCATACTTAAAGACATTATTTAACCCCCTCCCTTGCCTTCGGGACCCACTTTAGCTAATTGTTGTAACGAAACTTGGAGATTTTGCGAAAAAGGCAAAGGGCGTTAAGTTACCAAATTTACGCTGCGCCACCACTGTCTGACTAAGGTTTAGTCACCCCTATAATGGGGTAGAATGTTACTGGTGCTGGGACATGTGCTAACGACGATCTAAAAGTACAGTTTTTTGTTTGCAAATGTTCCTAATTTGTATCATGTTCGTGTTATAAATTTGTAAACGAATCACGTCATAAAAAGTTTAAAAACACCTACTACTGGTTGTTCAACAATTAAATAAATACAAGGAGGCATTGGACGCAATCACCAGTACTATCAAATCGGCGACAGAACACTTTAGCTTGGACGTCGGCCAGAGCGACAGCAGCGGGCACAAATATTTACAATAATTAATCCTTACTAACACGCTGTCATTGAACGAACGTTAGTCTCTGTGCCGTTCAAGAATAATTGCCTCGTCATCACTGATATTAAAGCGATCGAAAGGTACAAGTACGAACACTACATCTCGATGCTACAATCGATCTGGAACTTTTATTAATTCAATTGATTCAGTGGATGAATGCCGATCGTTCAGACGGTAAATATTCGCAAATTCAAACAACGAATTTGTGATACTACTGTCAGACGTCTACCAGATATTACTAGTAAAGAACAATATTAACTTTGCATTAAAAATATCGTGTATAAATGGCATTACAGTTTACCTGTTTGGGTGTAACGTGTTCAAATAAGGCACAATAACAATTAATTGATATCGAACGTGACTAATGCTATAGCATTCGATGTCTGTACAGTTTCTTCACGTTCCTTATAAAGTGGAATTTACTAAGCAATTGCTTGAGCAATAAAACATACTCAAAAACGGACAGACCAAACTTGTGTGAATCACGAAACACATTTCAGTTCGTAGAACAAACATTCAATATTTATTATTTACATTAACAACATCCTAATATTTTAAACCTTTCCTTGTTCATCATACAAAGGATTTCTGAATAAATTTGTACAACGGGAAAACTTAAATTGTAATTACAGAATACTATTTCCATACGGCCTGTATTTTAATTTATAATTATTTAAAATGCATATTATTTTTTTTAATTCATGTCTATTAGAGTTCATTTTTATAAAAAAAAAAACAAGTAGCACTAAGTAGCATTCTCTTATAAATGTCAAGAATTTCGCGACAATATCTTCTTTGTGTCGGCTCTATCAAGAACACTTGATAAAAGCCTTTCTGTTGATAAGAATATTATCTTTTATAATATACTTTTGTATCTGAAGAATAAACTATTCTTCTTGAGCTGTTACTCTTCTTGAAAAAACTAAAAACACGACTATTAAAAATGTTGACGTAGACATGACCCTGAGGACGCTCTATTTCTAGGGGTAAAAACGACCTCAATATCGCTGAAGCGGCTGGAGGTCGAGCGAGGAAAGATAATCGTTATGTTAGAAATTTAGAATAGACATGTCTAAAAATTAAGGGATTGGTATAGGTTTGTTTTTGGCTCTAGTGTTATTACCCAAGACACATTGGATTGTCTTTTAGGAATGTCGTTTTCATATAAAATGTGGTAAGCAAAAGAAATATAATTCAACACAAAAGGACAAAAGTAAGTTCGAGTCAAGGTAGGTTGAATAATCGGTTTTAATTGCAAATCTAATCGCGTTTACGTTGGCGGTAAGTCATAAAAATACAGGAAACTATTTCATAGCGAGCGTTTATCAGATCATGTTTATGGCATTGCGGTTGCCAGACCTTCGAGTTGCAGGCTATCGATTACATTGCGATCATTCATTTCATTGACATAAAACATTTATTATCTATTTCACTTTGACTCTGTTACAGGTAAAGCAAGCTTTCCTTTCTACGGTAGTTTAACTATACTCGAGCAAACAGCGATAATATCAACTAGGACTCTAAACCTGTTTTAACAAATTTTGCTCATCAATTAATTTGATTTCTACACTATAATAGATCAAACTTCTATAAAACTGACATAGGATTAATATCTCTATCTATCCCTCTTGGTTATTATCCAGAACGGACATAAAATAATAAAAAAGATAGACAAACAAAAAGCGCCATTAAAAACTGTGCACCAAAAAAAACATTACAAGTATAAACATTAATCGTTATTCATTTTATCGACATTGTAATTTTGCGCAGTTAAGCGAACGGCGACACAACACTAAGCCAGCCAGACGGTAAAGTAGTATCCGTTACATTGAACCCTATTGCAGAGACACCAGAATACATTCGATAGCTCATGAAAAGGATTTAGAAATCAATGACCCTAACTTGTACGTGACAACAGAAAAAAGCAATGGCGACTCATTTATTACAAACTTTTTTCACAGAGTTAAAAATAAACATGCAATCGCATTTTTATAATTAAATATAGTCATCTCAAAAGTTTCATTAAATATACGATGTAAACGAAGAAGCTCACTGATATTATAAATGTGAATGTTTAGGTCCCTCCAGAAGTCCCTTTCTTCAGAAGCTAGTTGCTTTATAAGTCTAGGTTTCTAATCCTTAATCCATTATAAATTCTTCCACTCGACCAATGTATTGATTGGCTTCTTAATCAGTCAGGCCTTTGTCTTATAATCAAGCCGTTAATTTTTACGTTTTTACAACAATGTGCGAAGTATTCCAACAAAATGTTGCCACCATTCCACAAGGCGATAACATACACGGCTATAAGTCCATAGCCGTGCGTCAATGTGAACGTGACTTTAACACTTTTGCGTAACTTCCTGTCATGTATAAACACTTCGACACAACGGAAGCGGTATTTTCAAACGGATACGACTTTATTCTTAACCCTTAAGCCCCTATAAGCTATATAAGAGGCAATTTTTCAATCAGTTCTACATGGTGTTTATATCAGAATATGGTTTATCATAAGGGTTGACAAATAAACCCGCGGGTAATATGCATGTCTAAAAGGCTTGTGAATGTCTTGAAATTACAAAAAGGTGTTCAAGTGGCCCTTCATTGATTCCGGAATAACTATTGAAACATATTGTCATTTAGAAAAATAAACAAGATGTTATTTGTAATTTAAAAACATTTAAAAGATTAAAATTAATTGCATCTTATGTGTTTCATGTATAATAATTTTTAAATATTTTGCACATAGATTTACTTTTATGTTGTCAATATAATTGGCATTGTTCCTAGAGTAGGTTAACAAGAACTATACAAATTACTAACATACTGAAAAAGCGTATATGTATACATTAGAAACATGTGCTACAATCATTGGTCATAATATTTTTTAATTAAATTTAGCATTCAATGTTTAAGGTGAGATTGGAATCATAACATACTTCAATTACTTTTTATGTTATAATAATATCCCTCCTCTATAGATATTATGTTATGGCTTTCCAATTGTATAATAATAACATTCAAGCATACTAATAATTATCGTTTTAAATGGGATATGTATACATATCTAGATGGCTAGTCCTAATCACTTTTTGTACAAAAAATTACGTTTTTTCATGAATAAGAGCTATAACCGTATGTTGACCATGTGTTTGACAGGAAACCAACAATAAGAAAACATAGATTTGCAGAAACAATAAAAACATTACGAGTCTACCATAGCTATTGATTAATTTTAAACAGTTTTAAACATTTCATTTCTAGAATATTTACATAATTTGGTTCTATATTTAATAAGAATGTTATACTCATAAATAATCATTTAAAGAATGAACAATGTTAGAAGAAAAACAAAGCACTATAATAAATAAAATATGCTCATTGTTAATGCTATGAAAATAATTTAATGATTGAATAATCCTATCCTATGTTTTATTTGAAATATGTGTAAAATTGGATTTACAGTTTACATCGAAGAATGTTTCAATTAATTACTGACATACAATTTGAGTAAATAATCAACAAAACACAATCTTTGCAACAAACATCCTCATATTTGTTTAGTAAATTTGAAATAGCTGCATAAGGAAATTAATAACTAGGGTAAGGCAGCAACTCGAAATGGGCCTAGGCCTCCGACAACAAAAGTCCACTATTTATAAAAATAATTAAAAAATTTATACAAAGACATTCCTCCATTTTTTAACCTAAATTTGTATATTTTGTAAATATTTCTCAAAAACATCTAATTAGTACTGAAATAGTATCTAATATTTTATAATCAAGTGTACTAGATCAACTTGACCTTATTATAAATCTATGTCACATCAGCCGTGTCCACATTATTGGGAAGATACTGAGAAAAACTACAGACCTACTTTTAATTATAATTTTAGAACAGAACATAAAAAAATGTTCTAATAAGATTTATTACCAGCTGTAAGGTTAATTATACAAATATATTTAAATATTATTTTTAACTAAATTATTTACTACATTTATATATTAAAAACCAATTAAAATAATGTTTTTTATTAGTTGCCACTAATAATATATCAATGAAAATAAGTAGGTCTGTGTTGGGTAGAATATTGTTAGATATGTAACTGTTGATTGAAAAATTCTAATTTTTGATATCCACAAATGAGCGCGCGATGAATCATCAAGCTAAATGTTTACAGCAGTTGGTAATGCCTGCACTGATGTCATGTAAGCTCGCAGCACCAATAACTCAGGCGCCCATGACTTTTATACACCGCTTAAAGGCACGTATTAGAATTTCACGGAATCTAAAATTCACCAAAGCAGCTGACGGGACACCATACCCATTGAATTTTTTCTTATGTAATGATCCTATAATCCTGGGTGTTACCGAGATAACTAATCGATTTTAAAATAATCAGGTAACATTACAGTCAAATAATATTTTATGCGTAGGAGGAACTAAAATACCTTTATTTTATGTGTAATCCAATATCCAAAAGAAAGTTGAAGTCCTGTTTACACACGAGAACACTGTCATTCATGTAAATTAACACACTATCACAAAGCAGCACTACACAAATTTTCACTTATAATTAATAAATTATGTGAAAATATCACATAATGCGCCATTTTCGCAATAAATTCTAAGGACAGCAGTCGGCAATCGCTGCCATCTTTTTTGTCAAATGTCTTTAGACTAAATATAGCGCTCTGAACGAACTCTAGTGTTATTTTTAGACAATACGATGTGGCATTTCAAAGAATGGTTTCAGCGCCATCTACTTACCAATTTATTGAAAATAATGTGTCAAAAGATGGCGTTAAAATCCATGCAATTACCACCTGCAAATCATGAACTCTCCAGTTTATATGTTTAAACCCAGAAAATCGTTTAAATTAAAATGAAAATCATATTTTCATTTTAATTTAAACGATCACTGAATTAAAAATTATGTATTATACTATTTTGCTTATCTGCTTTAATATTTGATATTAAAGTTAAGTTGCTTAATTCACTTATTAACAACGTAATCAAAGTAGAAAATATGAAAAAATACACAATAGTATTTAGTCTGAACAAAATCCAGTTAAACATTACCCTGCTGCAAAAAATGTAAGTACTTTCGCTTACGCGGATTTCTGAACCATCGTCCCACATTTTTAAACGCCTTCAATGACACATTGTTTGTACGTAAGAAACTTATTCGGTTGTGTTTTGCGTTACATAATGCAATCTTAATGAGTGTGTCACCAGTTTCCTCTAGCTTGCTTCCCCTATTGTTTAGAAACGCTCTAAGCTATAGATATTTTACAATCCCATCGAAGTAAGGACTGCCGTATAAGGGTGCTAATAGAAAACACGATATAATATAGCAGCCTTAGACAATGTGTTTCTTTTTTTATCCTATTTAGTCACTTCCACAATTCTAAGCAAAAGCTCGTAATGCTTTTCCTATCGTCTAACTCTTACTGTCTCGCTTATTTTGTTTACCCTGTCAAAGTTTTATATAGCTTATATTGTTACGACTGTTCTTCGCCTTCGTATCACAATTTCTGTAATAAAGTAATTATTTTATTGTTTACATACTGATTCAATTACTACATACATTTAGCTTAGCTTTATACAGACTAATGTAACAGATTATATAAATAAAATGGTCTGGATTCGGAACTCGCATTCCTAATTTACTTTATCCTCTAGATTTCTAATCAGCAATTGCTTAATCCATTCTCGTTAGTTATTATCATGGTTTTTATGTTCCCTATTCCAGAAAGCACTAACAATAATTATCACTTATAAGTGCTACGTAATACTGAAGTGTGTTCGTCATGGTTGTACTTATTCGCGCGTTAGGCACGAGACGGTGAAAGTGTTTTGTGCAATGATGCAAACAGCCTGCAGCCGAGAATGGAAACCGCTAAATGCGTACGTCACTTAACACCGTAACTTAACCACATGCGGCGCTTAAATACAGCGCTCAAACTAAGTTGAAGTTCCTTTAAGAAAAATCTATAGTTATTATATTAAACAGAAGACATATACAATACTATATATTCAAATTAGTGAGTAATAAGTACAAACAAATATACTTAAATATAATAATATTTATTTGTTTGGAAATTCTTAATTCTACAGTTCAATCAACACAACTGGTGTATCAATTCAAGCTTTTTGACTAAACATTCTCACCCGATGGTGCATTAGCTCATAAGGTTAGGGAGAAAGCGTGCCAATTCAACATTTAGACTAAAATCATCGTTAAGACATCCAAACTAGACAAGAAAAGCTCGATTTCTCGATTTGAACAACAAGCTAAATAAATTTCATAGTTTTTGTTGAACTACGACATTATGAGGTAAGAAAAATAACATTACAGAAATACTTTACCTACTACAAGAATAATAATCATAGATTGTGGAAGTAAGGAATGTGTGTCAAGAAATGCTAATGTAATTAAATTGTTCTATAAGATAGTATCAAAGCCATTATGGCCGAGCCGAGAATACGTGTCTGGTTTACGATGATAAAATATAACATTAGTAACTTTCGTATCATAATTTAACCACGCAATATAATAAGTAGAATAGACTAAGTGGCTTGTTATGTTGTATTCTGATAACAGAGTTTTTTATTCACTTAATTCAAGTTTGAAACAATTTTGAAATTATTTCCTTGTGTCAAAATAATCAGTTATTTACAAGACTGGCTGTATTATTCTGGTAAAAAAAAAAACAAAATAAGTAAACTTTTCCCAATATGACAATAGTGACCTTAGATAGAAGAGTAGTGAAAGGCACATGGCCAACATATGTATAAAATATTCAAAATATGTATAAAATATGACGACCGCAGCTGAAAGGTTTTACACGGCCGATAGAATAGTCGGCATAGAGACACGGTTACGTCGTACTTAAGCAGCGGAAAGCGGAAGTAACTACGTAACTTCCAAACTTCCCACTATATTAAATACTTAGATTGTTTTATTATGCTGTTACTTTATCGGAACATTGGTAGAGCGTTTAATTTGATTATTCACTCTGTATTCTTACGTATAAATTCTTAAAGCACACAATATTTAACCACTAATACCATAGAATATATGGCGGAGGCCCTCAAGTAAAGATTCTAAAAGCTTTGTGCAAAATACGCTTTTTTTTATCCAAGAGTTTCGAATGAGCTTTGTATGAATTTAGACAATTTATAGTCTTTAGATTTGTCTTATTTCATTTTATCCTTTTTTTCCTTCTTTTCATTTTAGAGTCATACACGCATGGTCCTCGTAAGCTTATTATTTGTTCCTTAGCATAATCCATGAAATGTAATTATTTGTTAATTCAAAATTGAGAAATATTCAATACATGTTAATCCGCAACACTTAAACATTGTCTAACTAAATACGATAAAAAGGAAATGTACATCCGCAAGTAATACCTTACGTCCGGGTAGAGTTTTGTGTTTCCGTGACGATATACAAGATTATAATAAGTATACAATTTAAAAGATATTTTGTTAAGAAGCGATGCACAAAAGAGTACTGATGTAACTAGCAGCTGCGACGCGCAGTGGGAAGCCACTTTTCTCTTGAGTTTCTCCAGCACGCCATGCGCAGGCGCAGTCTACCGCACGACGCCGACGGTCGCGCGCGTCTTTATTGATAAAACTTACAATTTTTAACCTTACAACTATCGTAACAGGACACAAAATCAGTTTTTATCGACAATCGTGTGAAGTTGTTGCAAGTGTTGTGTTTGTGAAGTTTAATAGAAACTTAACTTTTTATCAAGGCTACTGTGAATGAACCAATTGTTTTGTATTTAACAAATCGTACCAGGAAAACGTTTTAGTGTAAGTTCATTAAGTAAATCTAAGCTAAATTAATTAACAACATTACTATACTATTTGAAAGTATGCTGTGTTTTCTTAATATCTAATAATGTTTAACTAATTACAATTAAAGTAATCATAATCACTTAGTAAAAGTAATACGCCATTAGAAACTTCCGCGTTAATCATAAGCATTTTTATTTCAAGCAATTTGTATGTTATATGCTAAAAAGTTAAATTATAAAAAATAAAACAAGTTTCTTACTGGACAACATGGTATAACTAAACTGGTCTTCATTCAATAAATAAGTATTTTTAAACTTTGTTAAAAGACAATCAACCCAAACATTACCTAAGTAAACTTTAATATTAAAAATAAACTACTATTATGAATGAAGCATCTAACGCATAAACTAAAACGCATTGTTATCTCACAATCTGTCATAATTAGAGCACTATACATTACTCATCAAAACAAAAATATTTCTTTATAGTTTTTTCTACATAACAATAGGAAATTATTCGATAAAACCGTACGATAATAAACAAATGAGCAACCTATATCCACACTGTCATTATTTTGAAGCCTATTGTGACACAGAACAATCGATCTCTCACGGCACATATATTAAATCGGTTTCATTTTCTTAGCTATGTGTTTTGTAGGAAGGGTGTGCAATACAGTATTGCAATTCTGCAGCAAAAAGTTCCACATTCGAATTCACAACGTGAAACAATTGCAATCGTCCTGTGAACGCCGATAGTGATGAAATGGCTCGTACGTGATATATTTATCAATCGGTTTGTCTTTACGAAAGTCAGCAAGCAACAGTGTAACGGTTGGCGTACCGCGCTTCTGGTATGTACTGAACGCTACGTTCGCTCTAACGGCATATTAATTGCACTTTAACATATGAATACTATTGTTTACTAATTCGTTCGTCGACCACGTGGGTTTCGTTTGCCTTTGCTCAATCGGTATTGAAACTTTGTTAAGCTTCACCTCACACATTACATTGATCAGCCAAAGTATTTTTGTAACAATTTATAAATGAGTACTCGACCGGTATTAAATGCCAAGGCTATTTTTATGCAAAAAACAAGTGAACATGCGATTTTATACAAAAAAATATATAACAATACATTTCCACTGTTTGGAAATATAGAAATCCCGATGGATTTTAACAAGATCCTTAAATATCTCTGAGCTATTTGTACACTCTACTATATCACAATTTGGTTACAACATTTATGAATGAGTGAAGTAATTGCATTGACAATGATAATTGTGTTTGCAAACATTTCCTTTTGAATTGTTAATTTTATTTAAAATACAAAATTAAAAATGTAACTAAGAACATTATTCAGGAAAGCAGCATTTTTCCTCGTCAAGAAACAAGTTCAATTCACTGCATGAAATTATGATAATGTTTTAATGCCGGTTCGCTGCCATTGCTGCGTTCTTTGATATTTTTTGTCAGTATTGACTTGTCGGCGTTACGTCAACATGTTACGAAACAACTTTCTGACCACTTCGGCATTGAAGCAAACAACGCTTTCTACTGGAACCGTATTTGAATTTTGCACGCCTTTTTACGTTGTAACTTTAATATTTGAAGTTAAATTTAAGATAATTACGATTTGTTGGCATATAGATAGCTTATGTAGTAGAATGTTCTTGAATTATGTCCAACTTGAATAAAATCCTTTCAAAGCCGTAGCCTGAACTTGAACATGACGGAAGTCATGTTTAGCACACCTGTCAAAAATTGACAGACATGCGATGTTTTTGACGCAGAGTACTACTTCGTTTGTCTTACGCAAAATATTATGTAACCATTACATAATAATGCCAAAATAAC